TCTACTATAGCTGCCATGAGACGGCGCACAAATTTGGTGTGGGATTTAAGGTTGGGCGGAGACTACGACACCTCGTCTCTAGGTTTACTCCCATAGTGAACGAATCGCCACGATCCGCACCAAAGCCTAATTTAACAACGTAAGCCTCATTTGTGCGCACGCCCCGAGGGAGACGACTTAACGACGGGCGACTTTAACGTCAGGGTGGGCAAGGAATTCATTTTTGGGCCAACAACCGGAAAATTCAGCCTTCATGACAACACCTCGGTCAACGGAGAGGGGCTGATCGACTATGCCGCGGTACGGAACATGTTAGTTAGTAGTACCTGACACCAGCGTCGAAACATCCAAAAAGCGACTTGGGTGTCTCCTGATCAAAGAACGCAGAACCAAATAGATCATGTTTTGATAGACGGAAGCTACGCTTCGACCGTTCTTGATGTGCGTTCTATCCGAGGAGCCAACATCGACTCGGATCACTACCTTGTTGCAGCCAAGGTCCGCATGTGCCTCTGTTAAATGAAGAACGTCCGTCAGGCAACGCGGCGAAAGTTTGACGTCGAGAAGCTGCATTCACGACAGACAGCCGAGAAATTTCGCAATCGATTCTCAATCCTGCTTAAACAAGAATCTCTTCAACGACCGGATGAAATGAGCAGTGGGAACCCATCTCCCAATCACTTTGTGCGCTGCGGAAGAGGTGGTGGGATACTACTGTCCGCGTAGAAACAACTGGTATGACGAAGAGTGCCGCGCGGCTGGTACAGAGAAATACGCAGCATACAAAGCCACCCTACAGCGAGCGATAGTGGAACGATACCGGGAGATGAGGAGGGAGGAGAGACGTCAATTCAAAAGAAAGAAACATGAGGCAGAACAACGTGAATGCGAAGAGCTTGAGAAAATAAGGCAGAAATCAAATGGTTTCAAGACCGGGGCTGGTTCCTGTAAAGATGAAGATTGAAATTTGGTAACAGATGTCCAGAGTACACTTGAGATATGGAGGGAGCACTTCTCAACGCTTCTGAATGGAAACACAGGTGGCGTGTATGAAGAAGAAGAACACGAACCAATATATAGGGACGAAACTCACTTTCCTCCACCTGACCAAGACGAGGTGAGCACAGCAATATGGCGGCTTAAAAACAACAAGGCCCCCGGAGCCAACGGTATTCCGACTGAACTGTTCAAAGCCGGCGGTGAACAGCTGGTCGGGCACATGTACCAGCAATTGAGAGCGGAATAAGCCTTCTTAATATTGCATACAAGTTCCTGTCCACTATATATGAAATACTGAAGCACTTTACGAACCAACTGATTGGACCCTATCAGTGGGGTTTCAGACCTCGTAAGTCCACCATTGACCAGATTTTCACAGCGCGTCAAGTTCTGGAAAAGACACTCGTTATGCAAATCGACACACACCATCTTTTTGTTGATTTTAAAGCTTCCTTTGAAAGCACGAAGAGAAGCTGCCTTTACGATACCATGTCTAAATTTGGGATTCCCGCGAAACTAATACGGCTATGTAGAGTTACGTTGAGTACAACTTTGAGCTCCGTCCAAATTGGGAAGGACCTCTTCGCGTCGTTTGAGACCAAACGAAGTTTTATACAAGGCGATTTTTTAAATGTGATGCTGGAAAACGTTTTAAGAGCTCTCAATAATAATCACAGCGGCACGATATACAGCAAAAGCACGACGCTGCTGGCGTATGCAGATGATATTTACAACGTTGGCCTGAAACACAGGGATATCTACGCATCATTTTGCAGCTTTGAAAAAGAAGCTGACTCTGGCGGTCTGGCGGTGAACAAGGACAATACAAAGTACCTCCTGGCCACACATAAAAAGCCTTCGCGTATTGGGACACACGTCAGTGTTGACTGTCATAACTTTGAAGTAGTGATGGGCTTTGTTTACTTAGGATCCAGCATAAATACCACCAATAATGTCGGTCTGCAGATAAAGCGAAGAATAACTCTTGCCAACAGATGCTACTTTGGGTTCGGTAGGCTATTAAGAAGCAGAGCCCTCTCTCGACGAACAAAAATCACGCTATACAAATCTCTCATCATGCGCATCCTTTTATATGGCACAGAAACATGGACGATGTCTAATTGGCTTTGGGGCTTTCGAGAGAACTATTCTTCGCAAGATCTAATAATAATGGAATAACGAACTGTACGAGCTTTTTAACGACATGGACATAGTTAAGCGCATAAAAATACAACGATTGCGTGGGGTTGGACATGTTGTACGCATGGATGGCGACGCTCCGGTGAAAAGATCCTTCGACTCCGCACCCATGGGTGGACAACGAAAGCAAGGGCGCCCACGAACACAATGAAAGGACCAAGTGCAGAAGGACCTAACCGCACTTGGGATGAAAAACTGGCGCAAATCTGCAAAGGAGAGAGGCAACTGGCGAGGTGTTTTGTTCTCGGCCAAACCGACAAGCGGTTGTAGTGCTAAATAAGAAGAAGAAGACTTTGATATTACTCTATGGATGCATCAAATACATTAAAAAAAAAAAAATCAGGGCTAACTTATAAGTATGGTGACCAGATTTATGTGGGCAAAAATCGCGACATTTCTAAAGCATCGAGTCAAAACATACAATTTTGTTCCTTAAGCTGGGACAATTTTTATTGTGCTGTATTGGAGCACAATAAAAAAATTGTCCCAATCAAATTCTGTACAGTCACACGGTTGGCTCTTTTTATACAATTTTGATTGCCGCAAGTTGGTGAAAAGCAATATAGTGACAATAATTGCCTTATCACACGATTTTTCTAGCATGCGGCAATCGTGACAATAAGATGTTGCGCTGACTTCTAAATTCTGTTTTGTTCTTTGTTGTGTAAAAATGGCGTATTCTTAAAAATAAGAAAATTGAATCTAATTTATATATTGTGGGCTCATTTTATGCATATTTGTTGTTTGAAAGCAAAGAAGCAAAAACTTGAGTCCAATGAAAACTGACACATTTATTTAGAAGTTTGAGTGTACAGTTTTTTATTTTTCGACGATAACTGCAACGTGCTAAATATGTGGAGTTCAAGTTACAAGAGTTTTCTTTTTAATTTTGGTTTTTTTATTAATTACAAGTAAAATTGGTACAAAATAATTATGTATGTATAAATGAAAGCTGTGAATTTATATAATTTAGGTTTGGTATGAAATTTTGTAATTAAATGTACAGCTTGACTTTCTTGACTTTTTTCTTCTGTTTGTTTAATGTTAATTTTTTCTATAAATCCATAGCTCGTTGTTTAGTAAAAACCACATATATAAAAATTTCGAACTTTATACAACAATGATAAACATTTCTTAAACTTTTGATCACAATTCAATGGTTTTTTAATTGGATTTCTAGAAAAAAATTTATTACGCAGCTTACAAAGTAATTTGCATAGAAGAAAGTGCATAATACCGCCAGCTAAAAAAAATATAAAAAATCTACAGGATTTTTAGCAACTTCAAAATTGAACCTTATTGTACTAAATTTTAATGAGCTATAAAACCGAATAACAATTTTTTTCTAGGAATCGAAAATAAAAACCGTGCAATTGTGTTCAAAAATTTAAGAAATTTTTATAATTTTTGTATAAAGCTTGTAGTTTATGCGGTTTTTGTTAGACAATGAGCTATACTTTTAAAGAAAAACTAGCTGTACCCTGCCACGCTTTGCTGTAAAATATATTTTTGTTACATGGATGTTAAGCGATTAACGAAACAAAGCATACGTTTCATATAAGTTTGATTTTGTAATAAGTACTTGTGCGCACACAATATTTATCGGTTTTCCATATCCGGTTTGCCGACACGGGAACACGCAACATCTGAGAAGAAATCCGCATCTAAATCTAGCATGATTGATAGCGAATTCCGACTGCAATCTTTAAATTGAAATATTAAGGTAATATAATTTTTGATCGAACCGTTGCCAGAATTCATCTGATAAGGAATGTTTTCCTAGTTCCTCCTGGCGCATCCAAGAGGAAGGTCCCCCAACTATGTAATTTATCATTTGCATCTTCTTATTTGGCGCTGTTAACCGCATACGCGAATTTCGCCGAGTTCGACAAAGCACACCAGTTGTTTCTCTCTGTGCCAACTGACACTAATTGGAAATACCACGTGAAGCCAATTCCTTTCCCACTTGGTCTCTCCATAGCATTGGGGCATCTCTCTTCCTCTGCTACCACCAGCGGATCGCGAGTTGGATACTTTCAGAACTGGAATGTCGGTTCCTATTCGAACGACATGGCACTATGTAAAGCTCATACAACTCATCGTTCCATCGTCTACGGTACTTCCCGTTGCCAACGCGTAGAGGCCTGACGTGGGTGCCAAGGCGCGAATGCGCTGACTGTTTATTTTATGACAGGAGATACTACTTCGTCGTGTCCTCGTTTGCCACCATGTCCATTCGCTTTGCTTCCTAATCCACTTCAGGATTTTTGTTACCGATGATTTCGATGTCATCGGCATAAGCCAGTAATTGCACGCTCTTGTAGTAAATTGTTCCTGAGCGGTTCAGTTCTGCCGCTCTTATTATATTAGCATTTGCAGCATGCGATCGTAAATGACCTTCTGCTTTCGCTTTAATTTGGGAATCTTTGATCGGGAATAGGAGTTCACAATAGTAGTGATAATCATAATCATAATAATATTATCTCATGTTATTCAAAATTTCTTTACTCGCACGTACGTAGTAGGCTATGGCGACCCCAACCGAAATTGTTTACGATTAAAAGTTAACTGATTTATGTTGCTAGGGAATGGTGCCAACAATTTTAAGTGTTCATTAAGTATTTTTAAATAGCTTTCATGCGATAGTTTTTTGTT